GGGTCAGGGATCCGTTCCGCTTCTTGTAAAGCGAGGCAGCGCGAGATTCGCTCGGCGACTCTGGAAATGCAAGATCTCGCGAGGAAGCCATCTGGTCATCCAGGTAACTTCGACCCCCGAACGAATCACCGTCGACTAAGCTAAACCCAAGAGCGGGCGAATCGAGAGACGGCTTGTGCTTGTTTGCAGCGGGTGATTTATCCTCTCGCACGATACCCTTCCCTTTTCCGGATTCCCCAGGAGACAGAAGATATTCATCATCCATCTGGAACATCAGGTCACCCACAGACTGCCTCGATTTGAGCAAGGGGCTGCTACTAGCTGGAGTCGAGCTATCCTTTGTTGGAGTAGCTTTCACCCTCTGCGCTAATGGCGAGACAGCTGCCTTGTCACTATTCATCATACGTGGCTTGCCCTCGGAGGCGTCAATGCGATTGAGACGGGACCTGATCCTCATGGAGTCAATCCTCCGCTTTCTGTCTTCCTCTATTAAGGATACTACTTCGGGGTACTTTTCGAAGACATATTCTTCCGTGTTTCGACCCCGCGAAACAGGGAAGCTAGTCATCTGGTTGTCGCGGCAGACAGCGTCAAGCGCACCGAGCAAGACGTCATCAAGGTCCTCCAATAGCCTGCAAAAGATGTGAGAAACACAAACATGGTTGTACAATGTGCTTGCTCTCACCTGTTCGCCAGCAAGTCCTCCAAATTCAAGCATATGTACTCCAGAGCAGCATCCTTGAATTCCGTCACAAAACACGGAGCAATGGCATTGAGTAGATGGCACACACTGCGTGTGTTCACTAGAATATATTGATAAGTAAAATATAACCAAGAGACAAGGAGTGTTAACTTACCAAACATTCCAAGCATCTTCTGGCAAATCTGAGCCAATCTGTCAATCATCAATTCATTGGCCACGAATGCAACATCGAGGACCAAATCTATAAAGTCTTCCAGATCCCTCGATCGGACATCATCAAAGAGCTCAGCTTCCGTGTCCGCATACATGTAGCGAAGAACAAACTTGAAAACATGCGGCTCGAAATGCCTGAGATCAATGCGAACCATGTGTTCCGAATCTGCCCGACGTGCCAATAGCCACATGCCTTCTGAGCGGCCAAAGAAGAGGGCATTGAAGAAGGGACATCTCTGGCAAATGACTTGGCTGTGTGCCTTCACCTCACTCCCATTCAGCTCGATGACCACATCAGCACTGTCAAAGAAGGCTGGGTCCCTGATAGCTCGCTCCATATCAGCTTTGAGAGATTTGGTCGGTTCAATCATAAGCCTAGCAGCCCTTTCCAAAGTCGAGAACCCTAAATGGCTAGCAATACGCATCACCTCGCTCCGAACTTGGCGATATCTAGAGGCACTCTCCGGCGAGTACCGCACCTGCTGCCAGACGTCCAAGATGCTGTCCGTGTATACAAAGAAAGCAATATTCAGGACAGTGAGTACATCGACGGCATGGATGATAACGTGCGTCTGGCCCCGACCGTCATGCTGGATAGTCAGAATGTCAGGAACAGAGGCGTGGTCCGTACTGCGGAAGTCCTGGAATGCTTTCCGCAGCACCATGCTGCGTCCTGTTAAAATGAATTCGTGCACCGGTATATGTATGTCAGATTGGCTCGTGCCGAGCCACACTGTCCCAGTTGGTGCTCTGGACTGTGATGTTTGGAACAATGGTTCGATCTCTGAAGACGACATGACGGCTCTCCTGATAGCTATGGCAGGCTCCATGTCCGCATGAGCGTCCTTCTCATCATTATGACTTCCCGGGACTATGGTTTCCTGTAGCGATTTGAATGGAGACAGAGGAAGGAGGTCCTTCCATAAGGTAGACTTGTCGACGTTGATTTGCTCTTTCGTGACCTCTGAATCGCGTTGCACAGCTGCATATGCCCCAAAGGCATTGCTGCATACGCCAATGACTCGAGATAAGCCGGGTACGCGAGCAAACTTGTAATCCTTCGATGCACCATCCTTCGTCTTTCCTCGCTTCTCCTTCCTCCAGGCCGAACCGGAGACGGTACAAATGACGATCGAACCATCCTGCCCAACATCCACATCTGCAGCAGCCATATGGGCTTTCTTGATGGACCAAACGCGAGTCGGCTGGGACAAGGAATTGCGGGTTTTAGATGGGTTGGTCGTGGATGTCGATATGGGCGGATGTTCTGTCTTGTTGACCTGAACTGTATATACTTCACCAAAGCTGGACAGCGCACAGATGGTATTTCCACCAGACTTGACCTGAACGATCTCGTTGACAGACGAACCATATCGTGTAGCCATGAAACTGTCCTTTATGAACCTCGAACTGACGTCCAGAGGAAACAAGAGCTTCGAATAGCCGTATTGCGAGAACACCCAGACTTCATGATTCTGGAGAAGAACTGCTGTCGCCTGATCGATAGCAGACACACTTTGGATCGGGGCGCTGAAAAGGGATGCTCCTACCCGCCGGGGCGTCGTTTGAATTTCGAGTGAACGAGCATCGGAGTCCACCAGTCCCAATTGCCCCTCGTTTTTACCAAATGTGTAGAGACCAGAGGTACTGAAGACCACCGAATGAATTGCCGATGCTGCTGCCCCAAGAATAGCCTCCTTCTTGAAGGGATTGAAAATCTGTCGAGGCGAGTTCTGTATTGGCACGTCGTCCCGATTATTGCTCCTTGGGAGACTGTAGCCAAGTTGGCCATATTTGTTGCTGCCCCAGCTGAAAATTTCGCCGCGGTCAGTGATCGCAAGAGTGTGGTCTTGGCCTAGGGCAACAGAAATCACCCTTCTATTTACCAGCCCACCACTATCTATGCAGACAAAACTAAATCGAGTTGACTCGTCCCCCGTACCTAGGCGCCCGCCGGGCCCGAACCCACAGAGGAAGAGGTTGGACTCGGGGTCAGTAGTGAGAATAGCTGTGTGAAGCTTCGACATGACTATGTTCTGGATCTTTATGGGCTTATTCTTCACCAACGCTGGCAGGTCCGTTTGGTGTCCGGATTCTTGATCGGAGTCAACCCTATCATCATCCGACCGTTGCTCCAGGAATTCACGGTAAAAACGTTGTAGGAGGTGCTCGGGTCGTTTGAGAGTGACTCTTTCGGGGTATTGACGATCATCTTGATCTCCAACTCCTAGATTCAGATTCTTGTTGCTCCCAAAGGTGAAGACTTCGTCACCAGACAGGTTAATCCTGGGCTTCATAATACTCCTCGCACTGCGTGGGTCTTCGTCTAAGCCTTCTCCATGGGACGATACATCGGAAGCAGCATCACTGTTATCCATATCTGTAAGAAGAGGGTCTTGAGCTGTCGTCCGGGAGCTGATACTCTTGATATCGCGGGTCGCAATCGTCGCACCATACACGTCGAATGGACTATAGCCTTCTCGGTCCTTAATCTTAATCAACCCTCCGCTTGGGTGCCCGGGATTGCTTGCTTTGCTGAAATCTGTAGCATCGCGCATATCCCGAGCCATCAAGGCCTGGGCGATCGTTGCATTTCCTGCGTATAAAGCTCGATGTAAAGCCGTCCAGCCACTTTCCCAGTCTTGCGCATAGATATCAAGAGCGGGAATCTCAAGCAGAGCTATGGCAAATTCGATTGCAGTATCTTTTGACGAGGACGTCACATGATGAAGCAGGGTTCGACCGTGATGATCCCGTGCATTCAATTCCTCCCGAGACAACGTCTTGCCGGGGCGCAGGCTACCACCCCGATCCGGTATGGGAGTTCCTGGGGAGGTCCCCGTCAATTTTCTGCTCTTCGTCGACGTACCTGGCGAAGAGGCTATCACGGACCCGGGGCTTCCCGGCTTGAAGGGAGAAGCCCCTCCGGTTCCCGTCCGCTGGCTGCCACTCGTATAGGTGGCCGTTGCCAGGAACCGCCGAAAGCTCTCAACGTCATCGTAAAAGAAGAAACCCCAGAGCTTGCTACTCATGTGCTCAAAGTTGTAGTGTGTCAGAAACTCTTATCAACCCAGAACCAGAGCGTCGCTGTAACCGCAGAGGGTTGGCGGCGCACCAGCAAGAGTGTGGGTGACAAGAGTCTTCTGACCGGACAGAAAAGGAGGGGTTGACGATAGTCAACGCGGGGAGGATGCAATCTTTCGGAGGCTTCTCGAGAAAGGATGTCTGGCCCGTAGATGGAGGGTTAGGACGTGGTAAGTGATGGCTTTTTGCCGATGAGGATAGTGAAGCAAATCGAACGCGGAGATGCGGTGGCGATGATAGCTATACGTCGGACGAATATTGGACTCGGAGTCTTGGTGAACAGCGGGGGAGGGAAGGGCTCAGCGCGTCGGGTAAGCTCGAGGGAAGGTACGCGACCGCGAAATAAAGTCGGATGACCGGGTTCAAGGAGGGATGGAGGCTATTAGCCGGACAGGAAGTAAGATGGACTGAAGGGCGTTCGCAGGGAAGCACAGACTGATTATGCCTTTCCTTCTGATCCGTGGATAATACTGTCCGGGCGGTGGCCAATCGCAGCGGCGCACCCCTCCATGTTCTCCGACGGACGGCGAGGAGCATTTCATTAATGAAGTAAGTATGCTATAAGGGAAATGTGTAACCACCATCTTTTACAAGACTAGTATCTCTGCTGTTGATGCTGGTATCGGAGATCATTTGTATGATCTCCAGGTACTGAACACAGGTATTGCAACATTCATGTGTACTTATCTCATGCCCTACAACCCGTGCTACTACATAAGTATATCATTTGTAGATCCAGCCGTTCGGTCGGTTACATTTAATACTCATTAGAGTATCATGACTACAGCCTACAGCTTGGCAGATTGTATACTACATACCTCTATCCCCCCGGACAATAGTACACCAAATGAGGCGATCTCACAAGATTAAGTTATCATCCAGACACTATTATCATGATCCTGGCGTATCGCATAGAAATCGCTAAATATCTATCCATTAGTAGGCCCTAAAGTATTCTTCTGGCTTATATATCAAATCATCTGTAGATCCGCCAACAACAGCCCGGTTAGCTCAATTGGTCAGAGCGTCGGACTTTTACGATCACATGTGATCCGAAGGCTGCGAGTTCGACCCTCGCATCGGGCGATCTTTTTTTCTTTTTCACTTTTTCACTTTTGTCGCAGTAGCTTAAATTTTTGCTGGCATCATACGTAATATCAGTCAGGATTGGGCTCCCAACGAATAACAGGAACAATGGTGATGACCCGAACAATATGAAATTGTGCTATTTCGTATCGCTTCAAATCCGGTACACAGGTGGATCTATCTATCTCCACGGTCGTACATTGGCCAATGTGGCCCGCTTTTTGCTCATCACATTCAAATCAGATAGATATGCCGTCACGTTATCAGAAGTTGCCCGGTTAGCTCAATTGGTCAGAGCGTCGGACTTTTATGATCATTCGTAATCCGAAGGCTGCGAGTTCGACCCTCGCATCGGGCGATCTTTTATTTTTTGTCCTTCGCGCGGCCGACACCAACACCACATCAAAATTAATATTGTCCAATCTCGCCCGTTATCTGTGAGGTGGATATACAAAAATTAAGCCGTCGCACAGTCATACCGGACTAGACAGTCTTCAGCAAAGCACTTCCTAACTGTCAGTGAGTATTCTAAGGGCTTGCTTGCCACACTCCCAAGTTCCTTTTTGTTTTACATGTGCTCATGGCTTATTTATTCACTTACTACATCTCTCAGATGTATTCTACGCTGTCGCCGTTCTCGTCGTGTTTACCCAGACTCAAACCCTTACACTATTGAGGGGCCCCCTTCCTATTGTCTTTGTCCCATCATCCATGTCAATCAGTGGTTGTACTAAAAATACCCCCTTCTATCCACCTTTATCACTCGACGTATTGCTTTGTCTATCCAAAGTGACATAGAACACCCTGGCATGACCCTACTGTACGTCGCTGTCCTTGTGCATGTTGTCAGGTGGACACTATATCCATCCATCTTATCAAGATATATTTACAGGATGCGCACAACTGAGCGAATACATCATACTGTCATGCTCTGCTTTAGTCCCTGGCAAGCATTTGTTGTCACTCACATCTTGCGTAGGCTTTGCTGAAAATGTCAATGTCTCCACATTGTTGCAGGGACCCTGGTCGGCTGTTGTGATGGACAATGCTTAAAGCATATTCAATCGCCAATAATGGAGTTTTCAGGGCTCTATTGGCTACTTGTGTCAACCAGATTACTAGGAATGATTTTGGCCTGACTACTTCTTTTACCAATAATGTTTCTTCGACGCCGTATTCAGAATATTCTTAGCTGTTCCGTAGGTATAGATTGACTGCATACAGTAGATAGCGCACTACGGAATCCGTGGAGCCTATTGTCAGGAAACATAATAAAATCTTCTTCTTCTTCTTCTTCTCTCTCTTTTTTTTTTTTTTTTATAAAGGTTTTGTCTTTTTCATTCCTCCCCCCAAGTATTCCACAAGGAAGTATACTAAATCATAACCCCTTCTAGGCGTAGATCCTCTCTGCCTCAGGCATGATGAAAGCTTCTTCCGGGGGAAAGAAGGCGGTGTGTAAGCTGGCACAGTAGTAGGTAACTATGTGGCTGCCTGTACTCCGTAGTAATCTCAGCAATCACGGGTCTTCACATACATTCTATCCATCAGGTAGGCAACAATCGGCCACAAGGCTACAAACCCGTCAAGAAAACAGTCCAAACAAAGGTACGAAAGATGAAGTGTCCAGACCCTATCATCGTGATCTAGGTTAGCGCATACAGCTGTACCACCAACTGGCTCCAAACAACCACATCCAAGTCTCTTGAGAGATGCGCCAGAGCCGATTCCCATTGGCTTGCTTGCTTTCTTTACTTCCAAATTTACTCATCCTTTTTTTTTCCCCGATAGAGTCTCACGCTTTTCCTGGGGATGATGCATCACCTATCATTTTTCCCCGATTCGGGGTCTACGATGAATTAAGAGTCTAGGTTGTCTAAGGGGTCTTAGCCAGCCGCCTAGGCTGCAAACCTCGCAGTTCCGGTGCATCATGCCGGCAGTGTGTTGTACAGTAGGCTAGATTGCATTGGCTCGAGCTGAAAGGTATAGCTACGGGCTAAGGTACAGTGCCTTGTAGACCGGGCAACTGGCGTCTGCTCTCCACCTAACCTGCAGGCCGTTGCAGGTGAGGCAGCCAGTCCCAGGACACTTGGGGGGTGTGTGGTCCATGCTCTCGGTGCTCGGAGGCTGTCTGCGCTCTGCGATCCACCCCCATCTCGTCGGTCTGCGTCGTAGACATCCCAAGCTGAGACTGTCAGTTGGCTCTGAAGCCTGTTTGGCTTCAAAGAAATTGCCGACCATCTACGACAGCGGCTCAGAAGCAAGACATTGCTGTGTAGAAGGTTTCGCGGGCACCACAGGAAGGGCTGAGATGGCTAAAGTTAGAAAGTATGGAATGTTGTCATGGATAGGGATTATCATGCAAGTTGATTGATCGCCCAGGCGCAAGCGGTAACCTTGGGAGGCTAACCTCCTTAGAGGATAGTTTGAATCTAGTACGTAGTACCGTTCCAGATGACAAGAGCCCCCCTTCTCTTTTCAATTTCGGGTAAGATACCACGCATCTAACGGGGTAATTACAAATGCCTGGCAGGTCCCCGTGCCAGTTGGCAGCCAGCCACGCCTATCAGGCTATGACTTCATGCTATCACCGCTTGATCAGCTTTTCCTTATCTCTCGGCCAATACCGTTCTGTGACGCTCACACTAGACTGGCCGTACCTGGTTCATACTGGTTCATACAGAACTGCAGCCGCAGCTTGCGGCTTGACCGCCTTCCAATCGCCCGTTTTAATCCCCAGCTGCAACTCCTGCGCCATAATCTTGGTCCGTCCAAAAATACAGAGCACAAGAGCATTCCCTCGATCAAGTGGAAGCTCCCTTACTGACTGAATCTCTCGTAGCCATTGATTGTACTGTCCCAGATCGCATGGTTTATTTGATTTGGGGGACCTGCTGTGGCACCCGTCAGCCTGACTGACTGACCGCTCGCACTTGACCTGCTTCCTTTCAAACCACCGAGTCACCGGGTGTGCGTCACAGACCCTCTGCGCCCGTACGCTTGACTGAACAGACTGACTTTCATTACCATAACGCTCTGTCTCTCTCTCTCTCGCTCGCTCTCTCTTCCCTCTCTTTCCTCTCTTCCTTTTCCTCTCCATTCTTCCACTTCCTACGTTTCATCCTTCTTCCGTGGATCCTGCTCTCCTATAACTCTTCCCCCCTTTTTGACCATCTCCTCTTCTTCCCTCTCCTGTAGTCCCCATCATGCGTTCCTAAAACCCCTTGGTTCTCCCCATTACGGTGAGAACGCCGTGCACCCCCGGACGCCTGGATCCGCCCAAGTCGTCAGTGCGGAGAAGCTCCCAAGGTTGTCTAGACCGCATGCTCCAAATGCTCCAACATCTTATTGTTGCCTGAGCACAGCAAACGATGATATCGGCGTTCCTCATTTTATCTCAATCAGTGCCTGTTACTTAGCACTCAGCCTTTCTCCCCCCCTCTTCTTCCATTTGCTTCCCTTTGTCGACCTTAACTCGGGCTGTTGGGCTTGTTAGCATGGCCTTCCGCAGTGGGACCGTCACCTCCCCATTTCCTTGATCTACAAACATACACGCAGCGGTCGTTCTGGACGCTGTATCCGCTTGAAGACGACTCAGTTACATTTTATTTCCATTTCTTAAATTATCCGCAGTTTTTATCATGCATCAACACCCCCGATCTCCGGCGCCCGCGGCGCCTCCCTCCGCATCCAGGCCGGGCGCAAACCGCTCCGATGACCGCCCGAACTCTCCAGCTTTCGACCCCAGGGTACAACTTACACGGGGATTGGGCATAGAGACGGAGGCTAGGTCATCTGGACAGACATCCAGTTCACGCCCAGCGAAAGAAGCAATATCGAAGCTCAATCAGCTCGTAACGGTATGGCTTGGAATCGGCTTCTAGTCCCCTTATCTTTGTTACAAAGGGCCCATTGATTAATCGTATTGTGCGTCTAGAATTATCACACAAAAGCTGCTCTAGTAATACTGGCTTCCCGGATCGACTTCACTCGCTCAGACGATACACCGAAAATAAATCCCAAAGTCAATCGATGGGTATGCTACGTCCCCACATATGCAGAGCCTCTGCTTCCCATCAATTGTACCTAGTAACCATATACCCTGCTAACTACTATGCTCCATCTCCTAGTTCGCCATCGATTTAGAAGATATTGACGCCCTCCGAGAGCAGCTTCGGTTTTGGCGGATAAACGACGTTAGCGAACAACCGCCTCCGCCGTTGATCATTGAGACGTATCTGGATACGAAAGATCTGACGAATAACCAGAGTCTCGTTGCCTTGGATGAGCAAGGGAAACGATTCGATGTTCTGGAATCTCTTTCTAGGTCTTCAGAGGCACATGCCAAGGGGCCGGTATCGTCCAGGTCCGAGGATGTTATTCTAGAGCGATGGAGGGTGGAACTGGGGAATACGCCGAACAAGGCACTACCGGCAGATCTTGGCTCTATTCTGCCAAAAATATATAAACAGAGTATCGTGACGTTCAGAACATTGTTCACCTACTCCAAGTTGTTACCCGCGTGGAAGCTCGCGAAGCGCAACGGGAGGCTTCATGCGCACCCGGCGCTTCAGATCCGGTATCGTATCTTGGTTGGGAAACCCAATCCGGACGACTCCAGGCCGGATCGCCTGACTACGCCGCTGTTTGACAGCAGTAATAAGGTGGTCGAAACGTATACCTTTGGGACCACGGAGTCGCCGGTTGGATACCTGTCCATCCAAGTGACCTATCGAACCAGCTGTGAGTTTCGAGTGGACGATTCGGAGGCCCTCCTGAGTTCACGATTCATGGGGGCCGATGACGAGGTCTTTCGCCCTTCACTTCCAAGCAGGGAATCCAACCTCAAGGCCACCAATTCCGGGGTCGGATCAGCTCCTGTCGAGAAACGAACTGTCGAAGACCCTGACCCAAGTCGAGCTTATGGGAGTCTTTCAACATTCCACCATGTCGGCCCTACGACCAGTGCGAGTCCAATATCAGCTCTTCGCGCCGCCCGCGAA